TTTTTTTTTTTTTTTTTTTTAGGAGACAGAGTCTCATTCTGTTGCCCAGACAAGTACAGTGTGCAGTTTTGGCTCACTACAACCTCCACCTCCTGGGTGCAAACGATTCTCCTGCCTCAGCCTCCTGAGTAGCTGGGATTACAGGCATTTGCCGCCACGCCTGGCTAATTTTTGTATTTTTAGTAGAGATGGGGTTTCACTGTGTTGGCCAGCCTGGTCTCAAATTCCTAATCTCAAGTGATACACCTGCCTCAGCCTCCCAAAGTACTGGGATTACAGGTGTGAGCCACCGCACCCAGTGTATTGTACCCATCTTAATGTCCATGTGTATCCAGTGTTTAGTTCTCACTTATAAGGGAGAACATGTGATATCTGGTTTTCTGTTTCTATATTACTTTGCTTAGGATAATGGCCTCCAGCTGTATCCCTGTTGCTGCAAGGGACATGATTTTGTTAGTTTTCATATCTGCTTAGTATTTCATGGTATATATTGTACTACATTCTTTATCCAGTCCACTGTTGATGGACATCTAGGTTGAATCCATGTCTTTGCTATTGTGACTAGTACTGTGATGAACATAGAAGTGCACTTGTCTTTTTGGTAGAACAATTTCTTTTCCTTTGGATATATGCCCAGTAATGGATTGCTTTGAATGGTAGTTCTATTTTTAGTTCTTTGAGAAATCTCCAAACTGCTTTCTACAGTGGCTGAACTAATTTATGTTCCCACCATCAGTGTATAAACATTTCTGTTTCTCCACAGTCTCACCAGCATCTGTTATTGTTGTTGTTTAATTTTTAATAGTAGCCATTCTGACTGGTATGAAGTAGTATCTCATTGTGGCTTTGATTTGTATTTCTCTGACAATTAGTGATGTTGAGCATTTTTTTCTGTGTTTGTTGGCCTCCTGTATGTCTTCCTTTGAGAAGTGTCTGTTCATGTCCTTTTCCCACTTTTTAATGGGGTTGTTTTTTGCTTGTTGATTTAAGTTCCTTATAGATGTTGGGTATTACACCTTTGCTAGCTGCATAGTTTGAGAATATTTCCTCCCATTCTGTAGGTTGTCTGTTTACTCTATTGATAGTTTCTTTTGCTGTACAGAAGCTCTTTAATGAGGTGGAAAGGGGAATGTTTGATTATAAACTGTCATGCGAGATCTTATTTGAGTAAAAGAAATGTTCTGTAACTGGATTGTGTTTTATAACTCTGTACATTTTCTAAAAATCATTAAATTGTATGCCTAAAACAGGTAAATTTTATGCTATGTAAATTATACTTCCATAAAGCTGTTTTTGTTTTTGTTTTTGTTTTTTAAGACATAGGCTAGGTACAATGGCTCATGCCCATAATCCAAGCACTTTGAGAGGCCAGAGTAGGAGTATCGCTTTAGGCTGGGAATTCAAGACTAGCCTGGGCAACATGGTGAAACCCCATACAAAAATACAAAAGTAGCCAGGTGTGGCAGCCTGCACCTGTGGTCTTAGCTACTCAGGAGGCTGAGGTGGGAGGATTGCTTGAGCTGAAGAGTTGGAAGCTGCAGTGAGCTAAGATAGTGCCATTGCATTCCAGCCTGGGTGACAAGAGTGAGATCCCATCTGCAAATACATAAATAAAAATAAAAGACACTAAAAGCAATTAGTCAAATTCAGAACATGGATGTTCTATAAGATAGGTGACCTGGTCTAACAAATTAATGGCTTTGTAGAGCAGTAAGAAAGGGGAATTTTTTTTTTTGGAGATGGAGTCTCACTGTCGCCAGGCTGGAATGCAGTGGCATGACCTTGGCTCGCTACAGGCTCTGCCTCCTGAGTTTAAACAGTTCTCCTGCCTGTCTCCTGAGTAGCTGGGACTACAGGTGCACGCCACCAAGCCCAGCTAATTTTTGTATTTTTAGCAGAGACGAAGTTTCACCATGTTGGCCAGGATGGTCTCAATCTCTTGACCTCGTGATCCGCCCACCTCAGCCTCTCAAAGTGCTGGGATTACAGGTGTGAGCCACCATGCCTGGCCAGGAATTTTCTTTTTAAGAGTCAAGGTCTCGGCTAGGCATGGTGGTCCATGCCTGACATCCTAGCATTTTGGAAGGCCAAGAGAGGGGGATCCCTTGAGCCCAGCAGTTCAAGACCAGCCTGGGCAACATAGTGAGACCCTGTCGACAAATAATTTGAAAAATTAGCTGGGAATGGTGATGCATGTCTGTAGTCCTAGCTACTCAGAAGGTTGAGGCAGGCGAATAGCTTGAGCCGAGGAGCTCGAGGCTACAGTGAGCTGTTATTGCCCCACTCCACTCTAGTCTAGGCAATAGAGCAAGACCCTGTCTCACACACAAAAAGAGAAAGAGAGAGAGAGAGACAAGATTTCACTATGTTGCCCAGACTACCGTCAAACTTCTGGGTGCAAATGATACTCCTGCCTCAGCCTCCTGAGTAGCTGAAACTGTAGGCACACACCACTGCACCTGGCTAGAAAGGGGAACTTTTATGGAATTTTGTTTTTTTTGAGACAGGGTCTTGCTCTGTTGCCCAGACTGGAGTGCAGTGGTACAGTCATGGCTCACTGCAGTCTCAACCTCTTGGGCTCAGGTGATTCTCCCACCTCACCCCCAACCCAAGTAGCTGAAACTACAGGCTTGCACCACCACGCCCAGCTAGTTTTTATATTTTTTTGTAGAGACGAGGTTTCACCAGGTTGCCCAGGCTGGTCTCAAACTCCTGAGCTCAAGTGATCTGCCCGCTGCAGCCTCTCAAAGTGCCACAAATCACATTTGCTACAGTCGTACTCAACATTTGCTACAGCCTATTCCTTGAGGAATTTCTTAGAAGTTGAGAATTTCAGAAACTTAAACCAGGAAAGTACCTTTTACTTGCTTCCTCATGCTCACTATATACATTAATTGGCTTGTGTGTGGTATGGGTGTGGGATTCCCAAGTCTCTGACTCTTCTTTTTTCTTTTTTTTGAACCAGAGTCTTACTCTGTCTCCCAGGCTGGAGTGCAGTGGCGCAATCTCAGCTTACTGCAACCTCTGCCTCCTGGGTGCAAGCGAGTTTTCTGCCTCAGCCTCCCGAGTAGCTGGGCTTATAGGCGCCTGCCACCACTCCCGGCTAATTTTTTTATATTTTTAGTAGAGATGAGGTTTCACCATGTTGACCAGGCTGGTGTCGAATGCCTGACCTCGTGATCAGCCCGCCTCGGCCTCCCAAAGTGCTGGGATTACAGGCGTGAGCCACCGCACCCGGTGTCTCTGACTCTTCTATTGCACTTTTCCCAAAAGAATAGAAGCCTAGCATGGTACACCATAACTTCTTGGATAAATTGTTCCAGGGGTATACAAATCCCATGAGAATAATTTTTCTTAAAACTATAAGGCAACCAGGTGCGGCGACTCATACCTGTAATCCCAGCACTTTGGAAGGAGAAGGCAGGGGGATTGCTTAAGCTCAGGATTTCAAGACCAGCCTGGGCAACATAGCGAGACCTTGTCTCTACTAAAAATAAAAAAAAATTGGCCAGGTGTGGTGGTGCATACCTGCAGGAGGCTGAGGCAGGAGGATCACTTGAGCCCAGGAGGTAGAGGCTACAGTTAGCTATGATTGTGCCACTGCACTCCATCCTAGGCAAGTGGCCGTCTCTAGCCAGAGCAAGATGCTGTCTCTAAAAATGAAAATAACCTACAGGGCAGTCAAAGCAAAGCAATACAGAGTTAGAAGAAGAACCACAACCAGGCATCTATGACTGGAATCTTCATTTTTTTCACTGTACTCCTTCCCTTCTCTTCCCTGGGTGTTTATTTTTATTAAAGAAAATGACCTCAGACATTACAAGCATGGCATTTTTTTATACCTAGGCAGATGCCTTAATTTGACCTAATTTATTTATTTGTTTATTCAACAACTATTTATTGGACATTTATTCTGTGTGAGGCACAATGCTAAGTGCTAAGGCTGTGAAGATAAATCTCTGCTCTACTGAATTTCAGTCTAGTGGGAGAGAGAGACAAGGAAATAGTCTGTTTCTTTACTGTATAAGTTATCCAATAGAGGTAGACACCAAGTGTTGTGGTAGCACAAACTTCACTGTTGTCAGTGAAGGTTCCTAGAGGAAGTGTATCCTGGGCTTAGTCCTGAGGAATAAATAAGAGTGGGAAGTTAGGGTTATTCATAGAATTTTACTCCATCTTCTGTGAAGATGGAGGATACATACCAAATCCTGGAGGCAAAAGAAAACATGGCTAAGGTATGGTCTGGGGAAAACAGGATAATTAGGGTAGAAGCAGGAAAATGTTTGTTAAAAGAATTGTGTGGAAGAATTTATAATAAAGGCCAGGTGTGGTGGCTCACACCTGTAATCCAACCACTCTGGGAGGCTCAGGTGGGTGGATCACTTGAGACCAGAAGTTCGAGACCAGCCTGACCAACATAGTGAAATACCATCTCTACTAAAATATAAAAATTAGTGGGGCATGGTGGTGTACAAATGTAGTTTCAGCTACTTGGGAGGCTGAGGCACAAGAATTGCTTGAGCCTGGGAGACAAGGTTGCAGTGAGCTGAGATCACGCCATTGCACTTTAGCCTGGGCAACAAAGCAAGACTGTCTCCAAAGGGAAAAAAAAAAACAAAAAAACAATTAATGATTGAATAGAATAAGGTAGATTATCAGTGATATGATGTCTCACCAGATTTCTTTTAGACTCTTAAGAGCCTCAGAAAGTATGCCATAGGGTTTCTGGGGAAAATAACTTTTACATGGTAGGATCAGGGTTGGGGTCCACTGTCCTCATCTCCCCAGAAAGGGGTATAGGCAGCATGGCTCTGACCCTCATAAACTTATCAGTGCCTACCACCTGATAATAGAATGGAGACAATGTTACCTAATTGTGAGCCCCTTCTTTCTTATTTTTGCAGGCACCCCAGAATACGTTTCCACACGGGCCTTGTGGATGCCCACCTCTACTGCTTGAAAAAATACGTTGTGGATTTCCTAATGGAAAATGGGTAAGAAAGAGGGTGGTAGAGTCTAACATACAGTGCTTAACAAGCTACCTTGTGAATCCATTAAATTTTAAACCTTCGTAATTAGATAACCAGTTTCCAAAAATAGCACAATAGCACAGTTAGGTCTCATTTTTGTTTTAGAAATGAAATTATGTCATCAACATAGTTTTATCTGTACCAGAGTCCCCTGCTCGTATTTTTGCGGTGTGTGTTATAATAAATCAGTAACATATTTTATAACACTTACAGTAACCCATGATGCCTCTTTCTGTCCAGTTCCAGGCTCTTCCCTCCTTCAACAGGAGCGAGCCCCACAGCCCTTATGCTATTTGTCTCTAATTATATGTTCTTCTCCTAGGCAATTATCCAGTAGATAGGCCCTCTTAGCAAAGGGCTAGAGACTTACCACAAAAGAGGAGAAAAAGGAGAGCATGTTTCTTCCCCAATTTTAGAAAAGAAACCCACCTCAATGAGTAAACGTTCATGAATGCAGAGAAACAAAATTTGGCACATTTTCTGATTTTTTTTTTTTTTTTAGAACAGAATTGTAGGACTTAAATACTTTCCAGAGATTGTATCTGGCAGATCACAGGAATTGGGTTTTCAAAGAGAAAACCCCTTTTGCAGTTGGTCTCAAGGATTTTTTTTTTTATAAGAAAAGCAGCTACAGTCCTCAAAGGAACAGGTGGAAAAGATTTAATAACTGCATGGTTAAGGAAAGGAGCAGCTAGCTTCCCTTGATGACTGCTGGATAAGTTTGGAAAGTTCACCAGTGCTATTCAAGGCAGAAACTTATCTAGGTGAACAGATACCACCATAGCAAGTGGTATCTCAGACCATCTGGAGAAAAGAATTTGAGAACCTGAGTTTAAATGCTGTCTCTGCCTTTGGCTGATGGACTTGAATATATATCAGAATATTAAGAGGAAGAGGATTGTTCCTCTGCCCGTTATGATTTTTCTTTCAGTGTCCTACCCCTTACCCCCGACAACACTTGCTAAGTTTCTATAGGGAGGCCCATATAGAGCCAATGACAAACCAAATCATTTGGACTTTTAGAAAGCTTTCCCAAGGATTGTTTTATCTCTGTTTCCCCTACCAAGGACACTGTTGCCCTGCTCCCTTCTGACCTCTGGAAAATGTTTTCATTCCATCAACATATACTTACTAAGCACTCATTATGAGGCAGGCATTGTGCTAAAGCAACCATGAGATCAATGATAAATAAACAGATATGGCCCTGCCCTCATAGAAATTATAGCCTAAGCTCCATGGTGGAATGTGGAGACCTTGCTTTTTAGATAGCAGAGTAACTTGTTGCCAAGATCTAGAGGGTGATCCAAGACCTATCTCTCAATTACCAGTCTGGACTGTTTGTATTCCAAAAATGAAATTAACTCTTGGCCACTGAAGGGTTTATTTTTCACTCCCAAATAAAAATGAAGCCATATGAAATGAGCCTAGGCCTTGATGGGCAAAAGGGGATACAACTATGTTAGAAAGGACGACTTTTTAAAAAACCATTTATTATGGAAAATTCCACATAAATGCAAAAGTAAAGAAAATAATGAACTCCCATATATCCATCACACAGTTTCAACAATTATCAACTCATTGGCAATTTGGTTTTATATATGCCACCATTTCTCTCCCCACATTACCCTAAATTGTTTTAAAGCAAGGCATTTTGATTTAATTTCATCTGTAAATATTATATTTAAGTATGTATAGTTAAAATATATGGACCCTTCCAGGATAATGATGATATTTAAAATAGATATGTATTTTATGTATACATACATGTATATGGGGGGAGCTCTTTTTTGTTAATAAACAAATAGCTTAATACCATTATCACACCTACAGAAAACTGACAGTGCTTCCTTAATACTATCAAGAGGAATGTGACTTTTGCTGTCTGTATATGGAGGCAGTTTTACAGCAAACCTAGTCATCTCATCCTGGTTGTTACAGCTTATTTGTAGTTCATTTGGCCACTACCAGTTAGTTATTTCCACACCTGGCAAGTGTAGCACAATGGTATGTGTACCTTGAGGACAAGCCTGAAGTTGGTGATATGGCTACAGGTCCTGGCCAGAAGCTCTGCTGAGTGAGACTTTCCCAGAACCTACTGCAGTAGAGAATGATACAGAGCCTCAGCACATACTACTTCCCCATCTCAAGACCTGTTTAGGAGTAGTTTATCTCTTTCTTCCCCACATTTACCGTCACCTCTCAGAGTTACTAGAATCAAATAGCATATATTGAAAATTGATAAATTTCAATATATTGGAAAAAGTAAAAAGGCACAGTAGGGCAAATTAGAATGGTACTTGAGGGAGATTCTTTATTCTCAATAAATAGCCTGGAATAGTGAAGGTCTTTTAAAAGTTGTGGGAGGCTGGGCGCGGTGGCTCAAGCCTGTAATCCCAGCACTTTGGGAGGCTGAGGTGGGCGGATCACGAGGTCAGGAGTTTGAGAGCAGTCTGGCTAACATGGTGAAACCCCGTCTCTACTAAAAAATACACAAACATTAGCCAGCCGTGGTGGCGCACACCTGTAATCCCAGCTACTCAAGAGGCTGAGGCAGCAGAATCGCTTGAACCCAGGAAGCAGAGGTTGTAGTGAGCTGAGATCCCACCACTGTACTCCAGCCTGGGTGACAGAGTGAAACTCCATCTCAAAAGAAAAAAGAAAAAGAAAAGTTGTGGGAGATGGGATTGAATTGGTTGGTAGTAAGCATGTAGAAGGTCTTAAAAGCTGAACAAGGAGTTACAGATCTTTAAACAGAATAGTCTTATAGGAAATGAGCAATGATACAACCTGGCAAGTGAATATAAACCATTCTGCATGGGAAAGATATTTCTTCAAGATACGTAGGAGACACTTACAATCATCTGGTCATCAAATGATGACTCCATTAGGAATGCAAAGGAAAGAGTAAACCTAGGAGATACAGCTTCAAGAAAGGACTGCCGTAGCAATCCTTCGTTATGTTTCACCTCTGAGAGTTAACATATTCTACCCTATGTTCTTTATGCAGGAAAGCTTCATATTTTCTACAAAGTCACACTTAGGTTTTGTTAGTGGCTTATATGTTAACATTTTCCACTCAAATTCTTTGAGAACAGATATCCACCTGAATTTGTAAGGCATTCAGTATATGCTTGGTGAATGGGGGAAAGACAATGTAGTGACAGATAACAGAAGCAATTTAGTATTAATACATTAAAAATGAAAGAAGAGAGGTGGGTTTCTACAGCTGACTAAGCAGAAAAGCTATAGGGAGAGCCGCAGAGAGAAGAAAATCTGTACTCTCTGGTGAGAAGTAAGTAACTGTACATGTTTTACAAGTTTTTTATCCACTTCTGAATATAGTATGATAGATGAATGTTCCACCGAATCTCTTGAATATTTTAATTCAAATGTGTTGGATTCTATGTCCAGGGCAAAATTAGAGCTTAGTCTGAGGATTGTGACTGTGATACCTCTTGATAGCTGAGTGTTTCTCCCTCTTTTACAATATTAGCTGCATTAAACCTAAAGAAGCTGACCTCTTAGGAGGTCTGGAAGCCCAGGTATTGGCCCTGGGCCCTGGGTATTGGCAAGCTCTTTGCTTACCTTAGTAGGAGTTGCTCTTAGACCTGAGTCAGGGCCCTAGATTGGCACTGGCCCAATGAAAGACTCAAGCAATATGCCAGCTTTCTGAGTTAAAGCCATGGGAGACAGGAAATATATATCAGGATTAGTCTTGATTTCCTCTTAGTACAGAAACACCTCCGTGCCCCCCTAATCTACTAGACCTGCTAGCCTCTTTAAGAGACTTAAAGGAGATTAGTCTTCTTAACAGGAAGAATCAAGACTGATTACTTCCTTCTTGTCCAGAAGTATCCACGGTTACAGTCAACCTCTTACAGTGTTAGAATCTGATGTTGCCATTCAGTGCTTATAGTCTTGGGGTTAGACCTTCAGAGCAGGAAGAGAGAAGGAAATAAGAAAATTACCTTTAACAGCACCTACCATGTACCAGGCACTATGCTGGGTGCTTTTCACGTATATTCATTTCTTACAATAGTTCTCTCATTAGGTATTAATTATATTATAGAGGAAGAAAATGCTCAAAAGTCATTTGCTCAATGTCATGCAGCCACAGCCTCAACAAAATTCATCACTGTTGAACTGACTGCGAGCAACATCTACCACAGATGTTGGATGTCTCTATTGCCAACATACTTATATGCACATGCGTATGACTCACACTTGGAAGAATAACAGAGCAGTCACAACTTCCTTGCCTCAGCTATGCCAGGATGCAGAGAAATAAGGATAGGACCCACAAAGTCAAGTCAAGAGTTGGGGATAGGCCATCATGGCAAGGTCAGAATCAGGGTGACAATTAAAGCCACATACAAAATGAAGTTATGTTAGCTGGGTGTGATGGTGTACACCTAGAGCCTCACCTATTCAGGAGGCTGGGACAGGAGGACCACTTGAGCCCTTGAGGATGAGGTACAGTGAACTATATATGATGGCACTACTGCACTTCAGCCTGGTAGATAGAATGAGACCCTGTCTCTAAATAAAAATTAAAAATAGATGGGCTGGGCACAATGGCTCGTGCCGCTAATCCCAGCACTTTGGGAGGCCAAGGCAGGCAATTCAAGACCAGACTGGACAACATGGTGAAACCCCGTCTCTATTAAAAAATACAAAAATTAGCTGGGCATGGCGGCTTGTGCCTGTAATCCCAGCTACTTGAGAGGCTGAGGTAGGAGAATCGCTTGAACTAGGACCCGGGAGGCGGAGGTTGCAGTAAGCCAAGATCGTGCCACTGCATTCTAGCCTGGGATACAGACTCCATCTCAAAAAGAAAAAAAAAAAAAAAAAAAAAGATGAAAGTGTGGAATAGCTAGAAAGCCTCTAGTAAGCACAAGACAGCAGAGTGAAGTGAAGCTAAGAAGCAGAGATGTGGGACCAGATAGTGCTGTGAGAGGTAGGCAGTAATAGTCTTGGTTTCTTACTGTTCAGTAGTTTAGGCATCCATTGATTTGGCTGTACTTGGTTTCCTTACATGTCCTTAGATATCCTAGAGATTGTGTGATGTGTCCTTTACTTCAATAACAACAAAATTGGCTGGGCATGGTAGCTCACGCCTGTAATCTCAGCACTTTGGGAGGCTGAGGTGGGCAGATCACCTAAGGTCAGGAGTCCAAGACCAGCCTGGTCAACATGGTGAAACCCCATCTCTACTAAAAGTACAAAACGTAACCAGGCGTGGTAGTGGGCACCTGTAATCCAGCTACTCAGGAGGCTGAGACAGGAGAATCGCTTGAACCCAGGAGGCAGAGGTTGCAGTGAGCGGAGATCGCACCACTGCACTCCAGCCTGGGCAACAAAAAGCAAAACTCCGTCTCAAAAAATAATAATAATAATAAGCTAAGAATATGTATCTTACACATCTTCTCAACAGGGCTGTTATTTGGTGGCTGCATATTGATATCTGAAGATGCAGGTGCTGCCAAGATTAAACCAAGGTAGTCAGTCTCCTTTGAACTTCTTAGTTGCATTAATTTTTTTTTTTTTTTAAGACAGGGTTTCACCATGTTGGTCAGGCTGGTCTTGAACTCCCAACCTCAGGTGATCCGCCCGCCTTGGCCTCCCAAGTGCATGGATTACAGGCGTGAGCCACCACGCCCAGCCAGTTGCATTCATTTTTATCTCTTGGACTTCTAGAAATCATCAACTTCTGGGGAAGAGACAAAGTTCTAGCAGCACAGCACATTGTATTGACTTATAAATAAAGAGTCCCCAGTTGAGCTAGCCTGTGCTGTCTGAGGGCATCATGGATCAGACTATGGTAGGAAAGATAACCTTTTTACAGAGGACTTAAAAACTGGAATAATATATATAATTAAAGCACTCCCACAAAGAAGCATCATCATGGAGCCAGAAAATCTAAAACCAGAGAGAAAAATATGTTTGGTTTGATAAAGATTTAAAGATAATTTCACTGTAAGTATAATGGTTAATTGATGTCCTTTCCATCTATCTTTGTTCTCTGGCAAATTCCTAAATATTTATTAATACATCCCTAGATGTTACTCTTGTAGGAAGTATTCTCTCAATTTTTTCCCCCTTTACCACCAACTTAGATTGGATATCCTTACTGTGCTACCATAATAATAGTCATGTTTATCTCTATCAGGCATAATTAACCGTTCCCTCTTCTGATCTTGTATAATCTTTAATTATTACATGCATCCCATTAAATTGTATTTACATGTCTGTCTTTTCCATCTTTTTGAACTCCTTGAGGACAGACTTCATCTTTGATTCATTTTGTGACACGTTAATAGATGCTCAGTAAATATAAAAGCAACCAAACTGGCAAGTTCATATGAGGGCATGGATTTGCCTGTTTTGTTTCATTGTTATAGTCCTACTGTCCAGAAGAATGCCTGGAACATTTTGGGTGCTCACATGAATAAACTGAACAAATAGAATGTTGATTGGCCAGATGAGATGGCTCACACCTGTAATCCTAGCACTTTGGGAGGCTGAGGTGGGTGAATCACTTGGGCTCAGGAGTTTGAGACCAGCCTGGACAACAAAGTGAGACCCCTATCTCTGCAGAAAATAGAAAATAGAAAAATTAGGTGTGGTGGCATGTGCCTGTAGTTTCAGCTACTCTGGAAGCTGTGAGGTAGGAGGATCACTTGAGCCTAAGAGAGAGTTTGAGGCTGTGATCGTACCACTGCACTTCAGCCTGGGTGACAGACCAAAACCTTGTCTCAAAAAAAAAAAAAAAAAAATTTGTTGAATTGATCTCTCCAGGTAATAGGAGTAAGATCTCAACATATTTTTCTTTCTCAAGCCCTATGCACAGCATTGATATTTTATTCTTATGCAAGCTGTCAGTATTTTGCCAAGAAGGAAGAAGGCATATCACAGAATACTGTATACCAAATACCTAACTTTTAAATCAGCACCCCTTAAGATAATTTCCTGTTTACTTTCCAGGTTATATCTACTTTCTTTGAAGGGGGGAAAAAAAAACCTGAGGACAAAGTATAGGGTTAACTCAGCAATTGGCTTTTCTTCCCAATTATAACTCCACTGAGAGAAAAGGTACAAAAACCCAAGCTTTTAGTCCTTTGCTTGGCTGACTTGAGTTCCACACCCTATAAAAATAGGTTTTCTGTTCTGCCTCCTTCCTAATTCTTTGAAAGACTGAGTTGAAGTGAGACACGTAGGGGATTTTAAGTCTCTTTTGCTTTGCTTTCAAAGACAGAAAAGCCAGAATGCAAAAGTAGCCAAACATTTTCTTTTGCCATAGACATCATTTTTAGGCTTCTAGAAGCTTGTGGCCACAAGGAGGGCCTGATCTCAGATCAAGGCAAAATAATAAAAGTGTCAGGTTTAACCAGAACTGATAATCATGTGTTTTTTCAAGTGTTGGATTTTTAATGCTAGCAATGTTAGTAATAGAGAAACATATTTAGAATTCATTACATTTTCAAATTAGGAAAGCTTTACCTTTTTTTTTTTAAAAGGTAATCAGTTATTTAATTAGATTATTAGGACACTTAAAACACCAAGTTGTAGGTGTTTTATCTTCAGTAGGGATAATACCTAGGCATTTTGCGAAGTTTAAGCAACCAGGTACTGCCGTTTTTGTCACCACCCAGTGGTTTTGTAACAGTTGCAAGAAACTTCTCCTTCTTTTTCTTTTCAACCTTGGATTTAGCCGCTGAGTACTTCCTCTTGTACATGGCCTTTCTGGAATACATGGCAGATTGGGAATACCTACCAATTCCTCTGACAAGAACAGGATGGCGGCTGCAATGGGGCTTTCCCTTCTTGGGCTTTTTAGCCTTGAGGTTACCCTTTTTCACTTTGCTACCAGCATCAGCCTTCTTGGCTCCAGGTTTCTTTTCTTTAGTACCCGGCTTCTCAACTTTTTTACCCGCTATCTTGCAAGATGGGAAAACTACCTTTTTTTTTTTTAAGAGACAAGGTCTTGCTCTTTCACCAGCCTGGAATGGAGTGCGGTAGTGTGATAATAGCTCACTGCAGCCTCCAACTCCTGGGCTTAAGTGAGCCTCCCTCCTCAGTCCCAGGTAGCTGGGGCTACAGGCACTTAACCACTGGCTAATTTCCTTATTTTTTGCAGAGACAGGATCTCAATATGCTGCCCGGGCTGGTCTCAAACTTCTGGCCTCAAGAGATCTTCCTGCCTAGGCCTCCCAAAGAGCTGGGATTACAGGTGTGAGCTACCATGCCCAGCCAAGAAAGCTCTACTTTCTGTATCCAAAAATCTGTGTGTTTATAGGTAAAGAGACAGCAAGCAGAGAATTCTAAATCCTGTGGAAAGTGCTTTGGTTGAAGTAAGCACAAGATGCTAGTTAATATGGTATAGTGGAAAGAGCCATGGACTTTAGGATAGATGTGGAATGACTTTCAGTTCTATCAATTATAAAAGTTGTACTAACCTTGGGCAAGGTTAACCTCTCTAAGCCTTGATTTTCTTCTTTATAAAATAGGGGCCAGGTGCAGTGGCTCACGCCTGTAATCCCAGCATTTTGGGAGGCTGAAGTGGGAGGATGGGCTGAACCCAGGAGTTCCAGACCAGCCTAGGCAACATAGCAAGATGCCATTGCTACAAAAATTACAAAAAATAAAATAAGAATAGTAATACCTATCGTAAGGATTGCTATAAGAACTTGAAATGATCTGTATTATTTTCCTAACATAGTACCTCACACATGATACAGATTCAAAAAAAACAGTACAGTAACTCTCTTTACTGTGAGAGCATAGAAGCCTACAAATGTTATGAAAGGCTTTCAAGCAGAGATCATATTTAGAGAAGGGTGTTATGACTTGATAAATTTTCACGAAGCAAACATACCTTCTAAGTAGTATATTCAGGTTAAGAAATAGGCCGAGGCGGGTGGATCACAAGGTCAAGAGATCAAGACCATCCTAGTCAACATGGTGAAACCCCGTCTCTACTAAAAATACAAAAAGAAATTAGCTGGGCATGGTGGCGCTTGCCTGTAATCCCAGCTACTCAGGAGGCTGAGGCAGGAGAATTGCCTGAACCCAGGAGGCGGAGGTTGCAGTGAGCCTACATCACGCCATTGCACTCCAGCCTGGGTAACAAGAGCAAAACTCCATCTCAAAAAAAAAAAAAAAAAAAAAAAGAAATAGAACATTGCCAGCATTCCAGAAACTCCCCTCATTCTATCTTCCTACCCCACCACATACACAAAAGTAATCACTATCCTGAGCATTAAATAAGTGTAAGGAGTGACCTGATCCAAGCAGAGAAAAAAGAAAAAAAAAAAAAAAGGAATAAATAAGTAAGTATAAGGAGATGGGATCCGATTTGTACTTTAGAAAAACAACTGTGTCTACAAAATAGAGGATGGATTGAAGGAAGAAGAGACATGATCAGATTGTACTTTAGAAGTATTCTGAGGGCCGGGCAAGGTGGCTCACACCTGTAATCCCAGCACTTTGGGAGGCCGAGGTGAGCGGATCACAAGGTCAGGAGATCGAGACCATCTTGGCCAACATGGTGAAACCCTGTCTCTCCTAAAAATACAGAAAAATTAGCTGGGCATGGTGGTACACACCTGTAGTCCTGGCTACTCAGGAGGCCGAGGCAGAAGAATTGCTTGAACCCAGGGGGCAGAGATTACAGTGAGCTGAGATCGCACCACTGCACTACCGCCTGGGTGACAGTATGAGACTCTGTCTCAAAAAAAAAAAAAAGAAGTATTCTGTCAGCTGGGTGTGGTGGCTCATTCCTGTATTCCCAGCACTTTGGGAGGCTGAGAGGGGAGGATTACTTGGAGGTAGACAGGAGGATCACTTGAACCCAGGAGTTCAAGACCAGCCTGGGCAACATAGGGAGACCCCACCTCTACAAAAAAAAGTTAAAAATAAAAAAAAAATTAGCATGGTGGCACATGCCTGTAGTCCCAGCTACTTCGGAGGCTGAGGTGGAAGGATCACTTGAGCCCGGGAGGTCAAAGCTGCAGTGAGCCATGATTACTCCACTGCACTCCAGCCTGGGTGACAGAATGATACTGTCTCAAAAAAAAAAGTCTCTTTTTTATCTGTCTACAGTATGAAGGATAGACTTTGTGAATAAGACTAGAGAGACAGAGACCAATTAAAAGCAGGTATAGGAATCCAGGCAAATGATGACAGTAGTATGAACCAGGTAGTGGCAGTAAAGATGAAGAGAAATTGAAAGTTTTGACAGAGATTTAGGGGATAGAATCAGCAGTACTTGGTAATTGATTATATTTGAGGGGTAGAAGAAGGAGAAGTCAGGCTGTTTTGTGAAAGGGCTCTTTATCACAAAGCAGCCCCTGGATGCTAAAGGAGCTGAGAAACCAAAGAAGAAGGCAGACAAATCTAGTTTGTCAGTTTTGGGTGATTTATTAGGGCAACTTATAGACAGAATCATGGTCTTAGGTGGCTGCGAGACAGGCAGATCTCTTGTCACTGCAACCCCCCAGACCCAGGACTTATCTTGGGGGGGAAAAACATGTGCTCTGGAAGGAATTTTCAAAGTCAAAGCGGTTTATGACCTTAAGGCATTTAGCAAACCTAATATCTGACCTGCCTAATTTAGACCAAACATCTTTATTTTACCAATAATCTTTAACATTTTTTATTTCCCAAAGATTACTAAAGTTACGTGAACTAAAAGGCATTACAGTTTTTATTTTTCTTTATGCCAATTAGAGTTCTTTTACATAAACATCACACACATAACATGTATGTAATTATACAGACACACAGAAGAAGATCCTGTGGTTGTAAGATTTTTCATTTGCCATTTTCTTATTTGGATTGCTGGCCTCAAGGTAGAGCCCTTCAAGAAACAGGGCTAGGAAAACATGAAGTTTCTAGGGCCTAATAAGCAAGCACAGCAAGAAGACAAAAACAGACACCCAAAATGAAGGGTCCTATTTTTATACCAGATCCTGGATCCCCAACAGAGAGAATTAGCCCATTTCCCATGGGAGTCTTATCTCTCAGTGGGAAGTGGAGACATTTCCACAACTTCTAGGTACCCAAGAGCATGGTTCTCTGATGTACACATGCAAAGAGCCAGGTATTCCCTGATAACTGCCATTAGCCATTGTTAAAAGTATATTTAGCCTTAAATTTTCAGAGGAATCTATCCACCACCCATTCCTGGGGTTTTAGGAAAATGGAGTTTTTTTCCAAAACAGGGTCTGTGACACCTCCTCTGTGTTTTGCAAGGAGTCCCAGGCAGAAATTCAGAAAGACTCCAGGGATGCCTCATGGTCAGAGGCATTTGACAATTTATAGGCAAAAAAAGGAAGTGACATATAGAAATCAGAATTGGGGTACAGAAACAACTGGATTGGTTACAGCTTGGCATTTGCCTTATGTGAACACAGTTTGAACACTCAGCAGTGTATGAGTGGTTGAAGTATGGCTGCTGGGATTGACCAAGTCTCAGCTATTTGTAGAGGCACATACTCCTGAGTTAGGTTTTCATTCTTGACTACCTATTAAGTTAGGATACAGTTTGTCCACAAGGACTCAAATAAAGAAATACAAAGTCCTTCTCAGGCCCTATTTAGTTTGATTTAACACTCATAATTCCACTACTGTGAGATAACTATTGTGAACATTTTAGTGTATTTCTTTCCATTGTTTTATTTTCATATATATAGCGAGAATATATGCTTGAAATCACAGTTTAAAAATAATTGGGGCTGGGCGCAGTGGCTCATGCCTGTAATCCCAGTGCTTTGGGAGACCGAGGTGGGCTGGATCACGAGGTCAGGAGTTCGAGACCAACCTGGGCAACATGGTGAAACCCCATCTGTACTAAAAATACAAAAAAATTAGCCAGGCATGGTGGCACGTGGCTATAATCCCAGCTATTCGGGAGGCTGAGGCAGGAGAATGGCTAGAATACGGGAGGTGGAGATTGCGGTGAGCCAAAACTGTGCCATTGCACTCCAGCCTGGGCAACAGAGCAAGACTCTGTCTCAAAAACAAAATATAATAATAATAATCTGCTTTTCTCATTGAGTATTATAAGCATTTTCTTCTTTCATCAAAAAATTATTTACAGTCACACTTTTGCCTATATGACATTCTGTTATAGAGGCATATTGATCTTTCATTGTTGAATATTTTATTGTTCCCCATTTTTATAAATAACATTAGGGGAATACCCTTTTTTCAAAGATTCTTATTTATAATCTGATTATTTCATCTATTAAGCAACTATTTCCTGAGTAATGTATTTTCCTTAGGATAGATTTACAGAAATGGAATTACAGGGTGAAATTATATGAATATCTTCAAGTCTTTTGCTATAATATTGCCAATTATTTTTCAGAGATTTTATCAGTTTATACTCTGACTCCCATTATGTGACAGTAACTGCTCTCAAAGCACTCTTATCAGTAATGAAAATTGTTTCAGGCCAGGCGTCGTGGCTCACATAATCCCAGCACTTTGGGAGGCCGAGGCAGGCAGATCATGAGGTCAGGAGTTCAAGACCAGCCTGATCAACATAGTGAAACCCCATCTCTACTAAATATACAAAAATTAGCCGGGCATGTTGGCATATTCCTGTAGTCCCAGCTACTCGGGAGGCTGAGGCAGGAGAGTCACTTGAACCCAGGAGGTGGAGGTTGTGGTGAACCAGATTGCACCACTGCACTCCAGCCCGAGCAACAGAGTGGTCTCAAAAAAAAAAAAAAAGAAAGAAAAGAAAAAGAAAATTGTTTTAAATCAGTTAACTTAGTTGGAGGAGAAATAGCATCTTATTTTAATTTTTTATTTCTTTAAAAATATTTTATATGTTGTTTGAACATTTGTATCTGTTTCTTTATTAAGAATATCCTTTGCCCTATTCGTAGCAATTATTTTATCTTTTTAATTTGATGGGATTGTTTGTTTACAGTTAGTAGTAAAGTCTATTGTTCTTCTTTGTGATTGCTTGAGAAGAGCTTATGATTTCTTGAGTTAAGACAGGTGTTTCTAGGAAGGCTGTGTACAAGAGGGAAAGGAGAAAGTAAGGTTGACAAGGGCACTGCATCTAGCTCATCACCTTTAGGCCCAGGATGTTCACAATGGTTCACTGTAGCTTTGTATCACTTCTTGGCACAGCTCTGAGCTGCCTCCACTTTAACTAGGAAGGGGGAATAATAATTGTTTCCTTCATTATTCTTCTAAGCCAACTGCATTATGGGGATTGACCTAATGCTTAGCTCCAGCAGAGGTGGGTGGGACCTGGCAGAGTTGTTTCATAGCCCCTCTTCAAATCACTGACCCTCTTGAATGGCTCTGCCTGATGGGGCTATGTGCCAAGGCTTGTCTGCTTGCCTCTTGCAGTGACAGTTCTGTTTGGTCCATAATATAAATATCATTGCCCTGAAATCCTCCAGCTGTCCATACTTTGTCACTTCTTCAAAGGGAACTGACTTGTTTTTCAATGGAGGAGAAACATTTGCCGCCCACACTCGTTTGAAGCATTAGAAGGGGTGAAAAAGAGCTAAGAGTAAGTGTTGTTTCATTCTTTGTATTCACATGGAAATTTTTCAATCTCCATCAAAGGATCAGGAGAAAAATCACATTAAAATTCAATACAAGAGCTCACAGCTTAACACAGAATTTTTCAAAGATGTTTGACATGATCCTTTAAAAATTACAAAAACCATGAACTGTATAGCTCCGGGGTTCATAATTTTCCTTACCCTCCTCAGTCTCTGCCTCTATCTTGCTTTCCTACCTACACTCCATCTGTGTGGTCCTGTGTTAGCATGCAGAGTTTCTTTAAATGGGGGCTGGGAGAGGTAGTGGGAAGTATGCAGCAATTCAGGTTTATTGAGCTGCCAATACTTTAACCCCTCTCTCAGGCCTGATTATCTCATCTCTTAGAATATTGTAACTGGTCTCCCTTCCTTCAGTTTCCTTATTCCAGGCTTTCTTCCACACTGCTACCAGAATTACCTTACTAACAGATAAAACGATAGTGTCACTTTCTTGCTTAAAAACTATCGCTGTTGGCGACTTGTGGTGGCTTACACCTGTAATCCCAGCAATTTGGAAGGCTGAGGTAGGAGGACTGCTTGAGTCCAGGAGTTCAAGACCAGCCTGGGCAAAATAGTAAGACTTTGTCTCTACAAATAATAAAAAAATTAGCTGGGCATGGTGGCATGTACCTGTGGTCCCAGCTACTTGGGAAGCCAAGGCAGAAGGATCACATGAGCCCAGGTAGTCAAGACTGCAGTGAGTTGTGATTGCACCGCTATACTCCTGCCTGGGCAGCAAAGCAAGACCCCATCTAAAAAGAAAAAATTACCACTGGCTTCTCAGTCCAGACTTTCTAGACTGCCACTGTAACTCCTCAGTGGGTTAATATTACCTGCTGCTGAGATAGACAATTTATCAAGATGGGAGAATTGCAATAAGGAGCTTAATATACATAGAGGCAGCTAAATGGGAAACCAGAATTTTATTATTACTCAAATCAGCCTCCCCAAAAATTCTGAGGCTAGGGTTTTTCAAGGATAGTTTGGTGGGCAAAGGTCTAGGGAATAGGTGCTGCTGATTGGTTGGGGATGTAATCATAGCGGTGTGGAAAACAGTCCTCTGCTGAGTCCAGTTCTGGGTGGGGGCCACAGAGGAGTCACTGGTCCCAGTGGAATCATCCAGTCATCAGAAATGCAAAACTCAGAAAAGACATCTTAAAAAACCAATCTTAGGTTCTACAGTAGTGATGTTATTTACAGGAATAACTAGGGAAGTTGCAAATCTTATGATCTCTGGAACAATGACTGGTAATATGAGAACTCAGGCCCCTCTTGTAATCCTAAACTTGTACCTTTTTAATTAGTTTTATGAAGGTGTTTTCATTTTGAAAAGAACTATTATCATTTAAACTATAAACCGTAATAAATTTCCGGCCACGCAGGGTAGCTCACATCTGTAATTCTAGCACTTTGGGAGGCCACAGTGGGCAGATACCTGAGGTCAGGAGTTTGAAATGGCAAGACACCATCTCTACTAAAAATACAAAAATTAGCCAGGCATGGCGGCAGGTGCCTGAGGCAGGAGAATCGCGTGAACTGGGAGGTGGAGGTTGCAGTAAGCCAAGATCACACCACCATACTCCAGCCTGGGTGACAGAGCAAGACTCTGTCTCAATAAAAAAAAAAAAAAAAAGCTGGGGCCGGGCACAGTGGCCCAACCTGTAATCCCAGCATTTTGGGAGGCCAAGGTGGGCAAATCACCTAAGGTGAGGAATTCAAGACCATCCTGGCCAATATGGTGAAACTCTGTCTCTACTAAAAATACAAAAATTAGCCGGGCATGGTGGCACATGCCTGTAATCCCAGCTACTCGGGAAGCTGAGGCAGGAGAATTGCCTGAACCCAGGAGGCAAAAGTTGCAGTGAGTCGAGATTGTGCCACTGCACTCCAGCATGGGCGACAGAGTGAAACTCCACTGGGAAAAAAAAAAACAAAAGAGCTGGGCATGGTGGCTCATGCCTGTAATCTCAGCACTTTGGGAGGCCAAGATGGGCAGATCACCTGAGGTCAGGAGTTCAAGACCAGCCTGACCAACATAAAGAAACCCCATCTCTACTAAAAATACAAAAAAATAGCCGATGTGGTGGCACATGCCTGTAATCCCAGCTACTTGGGAGGTTGAGGTAGGAGAATCGCTTGAACCTGGCAGGCAGAGGTTGCAGTGAGCCGAGATCACACTGTTACACTCCAACCTGGGCAACAAGAGCAAAACTCTGTCTCAAAAACAAAACAAAAAAGCTGGGCACAGTGGCTCATGTCTGTGATCCCAGTGCTTCAGAAGGCTGAAGCAAGCAGATCACTTGAAACCAGGAGTTTGAGACCAGCCTGGCCAACATGGCAAAACCCCACCTCGACCAAAAAAAATACCTAGTCCTTGTAGCATGCGCCTATAGTCCCAGCTACTTGGGAGGCTGGAGCACAAGAGGCAGAGGTTGAACCCAGGAGGCAGAGGTTGCAGTGGGCTTAGATCATGCCACTGCACGCGAGCCTGGACGATAGAGTAAGACTCTGTCTCAAAAAAAAAAAAAAATTAGCCGGGCGTGGTGGCTCTTCTACCTGTAATCCCAGTTTCACAGCTACTCGGGAGGCTGAGGTGGAAGAATTGCTTGAACCTGGGAGGCACAGGTTGCAGTGAGCCAAGATCACACCACTGCACTCCAGCCTAGACAACAGAGTGAGACCCTGTCTCAGAAAAAAAGAAAAAATTTCTCCCAAAGTTAGCTCAGCCTATACCCGAGAATGACCAAGGGC